AGTCTGTTTGAAGGCCCAGAGGTGGGAAAGAACTTCATGAATTCAAGGACACGAAAGGCTGGGTGTGTGAGGCTGGTGAGGCATGCCAGGCTTCTGGGTGCCAAGTTGCAGTATTCAACACGAAAGGTGCCCCTAGGTGTACTGCGAATTGGCCCTGGATAGGGGAACCTTGTAGATCACTTCTGGGATTTTGATTTTGACGTCAGGTGCAAGCCTATGTTCATCTGGTTAATAACAGATGGATTTTCTAGTTCCAGGAAGCATTTTTTTCTTCTAGATCAGTCTATAAACAGAAAGGACTATAAATAGAGCCATAGCCTCCTGGAGTGGGGTTAAAACACAAGCAAACAGCATTTTTGCCTCACCAACTGCTGGCACCCAGAGAGGAAGAAAAGGTGGATCTTTAGTCAGAAAGGGGAAGTGGGGGGTATTGCAGGTGCCTGATCCCCGCAGGTCACTTTCGACAGCTGTACTGGGTTGAATAACATCCTTCCAAAATTCATGTGCACCCAGAACCACAGGATGTGACCTTACTTGGAAATTGGGTCTTTGCAGATATAATTCATTAGGATGAGGTCATATTGGATTGGAATGGGGCCTAAGGCCAGTGACTGATGTCCTCATACAAAGGCTAGGAGGGACACCCAGGGAAGAGGACCATATGACTGGGGTAATGAGAGGTGTGGGAAGGTTTCTCCTTCAGAGCCTCTGGAAGGAATCAATCCTGCTGAAACCTTGATTTTGGACTTCTGGCCTCCAGACCTGTGAAAGAATAAATTTCTGTTGTTGTGGGTGGTCATTTGTTACAACAGTCCCAATGGACCAGCAATGTGCACCCAATTTAGCCTTGGCACATTTTGTTGCTCAGGGCTGGTCCCTGGAACTTTGAAGGATTTGCCCCCAACCATGGAGTACTTCATTCATGTGGAGAGATGATGACTTGTTGGTGTGGTGGTGGAAAAGCTTATGGTCAGGCCTCTAAGGTGTAACTTACACTCCAGATCTCTCCACTGAATCAGGTTAAGGCTAGAACTTCATCTGAAGTCTCACACTTCCCTGCCCACTCCCTTCCTGGTTTTTCCTGGGAGCCCCTTCTCCATAACCCACATGTACCTAAACCAGTGATTTGGGCCTGCTATTGGGAGCTGCAGTCTCTAACCAGCCAGGTGAGAGACATTCTGCCAGCAGAGAAAGGTGGGTAAAGACATTCCTCAGGGAAATTAGACCTGTCCTTGACATGAAGAGTTTCAGAAGGTACAATCAAGTACATACTGTTGCTTCAAGTTGTCTTACAGAGATGGCCACCAGCCATCTCTTTTACAGAGCCATCTAAACATGTTCTAATTCTTATCAAGAGGAGCCAGGAGATAGGGCTGGCCTGATTATCCTACTAAGGTGGCCAGACTTATACGGGCTCGAGAGGCCAGGGCCAAAGGACCCCCAATCCTTAAAAAACAGTTAAAAGCCAATCTCAAATTTAACATTCACACCTAACCTCAAGTTACCATGTTACAACCAAGTTTTCTTAGCTAAGGCCTATGAGCTTCCAGTACCTTGGTACTGGACAGTCTGGTGGCTAAAGAAAGAGAGTCTGGTTATGTAATAGCAGTCACCTAGTTTCTGAGCATGGAAGTCCAAAGTCCGGGGAACACATCTGGTGAAGGCTTTGGTGTGGTGACAGTGACCCAGGAGTCCCACATGGCAGAAATGGCAGAGCAGAGAGAGACTCTCACATGCTCTCCATGACAACCACCACCATTAAACCATCAAGTTAACAATCTCTTCAAGGCCTCACCTTTCAATTACCATAGTAGGATTTCCCACCCTCAACAGTTACACTCGGGATTAAGTTTTGGGAGGACATTCAACGCAAGGCAGTGGGGGTGGTAATGGCCTAGGGTAGATGATTAACAGAGAGTTGTTTAGCAGCCCCATCTGGGGTTAGTCTGGGTTAAGACCATCTGTCCAGGCTCAAGGGCTTCCTAGAAACTGGAACAGGGGAAAATAATTCATATATTTACTGAACATCCATTTTCTCCCAAACGCTTTTATATATTATCTTATTGAATCCTCCTACAACTTGTAATGGAAACTACTATTAGATCCACTTTACATACAGGGAGGCTGAGGCTCCAGGACCAAGTGACTTACCCAAGTTTACATGCTGGTAAATAAAGAGCTGAGAGCCAAACCCAAGTCTCATTGATTAAAAAAATACCATGTTTTTCCAGGATACCCCAGTGCCTCATAAGGAAAGGTAGCTGTTCTTCCTGACACTCAACAACCCCCCTCCCTCTGCCCTTTTTCTCTTTCTTTTGAAATATTCCTGTTCATATCTTAAAATGCATCTCCCCCCACACTTCTTGAAGTGCTTTTCACATATTTTAATAAGAGCATTGATATGACTCTTCACAGGTCACGAAGGACCTTTACACCCATCGTTTCAGCTCATCTTCATATTCCAACTCAGGGATTGGAAGGTCTGAGTAACCCCGATTTACAGCCAAGGAAACAGGCTCAGAGAAGTGAGGCAACTTCGCTGGGCTCACACAGCCTGTCAGATGCTGATTTAAGACTCAAACCCAGCCTCTGGAATCCCTGTTGAATGTGGTTCTCTACCACGCTGTATCTAGCAAGCATGGTGCCTGGTGTGGCTTTAATCTTAAATGCTGTGGCTCATTTGATCCTGCCTCGGGAGTTGTCAGGTTTTATGATGCCTCTTCAGCTGACTGGCTGAGAAATGATATTACATGGCGGTTGATGTGCTCCTCCCCTCCCCAGAATCATTAAAAAACATTCCTTTCTGTTCTTTTTAGAGTGACTGAGCATGATTCAGGTAGATTATACTAAAATCCCTAGGAAAAATAAGATTTTCAAAGCCTACAAGGTTTTCTTTGCATAGAAGCCTGGAAGAAGGACTCCTTATATAGATAGGGAATGTGGGACCCAGTGAAGGGACATGCCTGTGCTGGATAAAGGTGTTATTCACTGTTTTTGCCTGCCATTGTTCATTCCCTTAGTTCTGGTAATGGCACCTTGGTTTTCCTTTGGAGAGCCAGCTAGGTTTGCCAGATAAAAGACAGGACCCCCATTTAAATTTGAACTTTAAATAAACAACAGGAACATTTTTTAGTATATCTCAAGTATTGCATGGGGTATACGTACACTAAAAATCTATGAGTGTTCATGGAAAGACATATTATCTTTTCTGTTTTTCTACAGACTTTTTGAAGTACGCTTGTACTTGTTGCAAATTTGAAATTCAAATTTAACTTGGCATCTTGTATTTTTATTTGCTACCTCTGGCAGCCATGACACCTCTTAGCTCGAATGGTTGGGATGGGACTGACCAATCCTACCCTGGTTCCAGGAATGGGCAGGTGAACCAGGTTTGGCCAATCAGTACATTCAATCCCTTTGAATCACAGAGATTGGTTCAGAGAAGGGCACATGATCAAAGACTGGCCAATGAGATTTAATTCTGGCAATCTGGCTGGCACCATTGAGAAAGAGGTTGTTGCCGTTTTGGGTTGGGGTTGCTAAGCTGTAAGAGGTAAGTTCTGTAGCTCAGCAAATGAGAGTCTGCCTGAGGAATGAAGCCAAACAAGTGAAAACAACCAAGAGATGGAGGGACAAAGAAAAAGAAGAGGTCAAACCTCAAAGATATCATTAGGAGTCCTGGGACCAGCCTCCACTGAATTTTATCTTCATCCCTAAAGTTGATGGTGAAGACTGTTCTGATGATGGTGCAAATATAGATAATAGTAGTGGTGTGATGGAGTTGAAATCAAAACCATTAGTGGTGATGGTTATGAGAAAGACCAGTCTTAATCCAGATGGTGGCTGATGGGGTGCTGGAGCAGAATGGTGTGCAGGATCAAGGGAAGACATGCTCTTGCTGGTGACTGCTCTGTGAGGGTGCTGATGCTGCTGATAATGAAGACAAGCATGACAACAATGAAGATCAGGATGGCATTGGTAAGGAAGAATAAAGTAACCAGGAAAAGAAAACTTCTCAACCCTAAGCCATCACCAGGTCTCATCAATTCTATCCCCTCGGTTAAAAAATATCTGTTCACTTTGCCCCCTGCTAGCTGCTGCCAATACACTAGCCCAAGTCAGTAGGATTTCTTGCTGCTTCTGCTGCAAGGTTGTCCTAACTGGCCTTCTTGCTTCCCTTCCTGTCTCCCTACATTTTATGCTCCACACTAAAGTCAGCAGAGAGAATGAGATTTTACAAAATGTAAGTTAGAGCATTTCACTTCCCTGCTCAAAATGTTGATCATGGACTTCGAGACCTTCATGACCTGGGCCCTTCCCTTCCCCCAGTCTCATTTCCCTCTGCTAACTCCTCCCTCACTATGTTCTAGCCTGATTAGCCTTCTCTTGGTTTCTCTGGAATGTACCAAACCCTTCGTATAAGCCATTTTCTAGGCATGAAATGCATTTCTATTCATCATGTCTCAGCATCTGTGTCGCTTTCTCAGAGATGCCAAATGAAACCTCTCCTCTGTTACCCTCCCCATAGTACCCTGTTCTAAGCACACTTTGTTTAATGATTCTCTCCCCAACTCAACTCAAAGACTTTTGAGTCTTGGCACAAAGGTTCCTTAAGAATGTGGCACAAAGTTGCCAAGATTTTGGCTCTTCAGCCATAAGAGCAGCCTTGAGAGGCCTTTGGTAGCTGCAGCCTGGAAACCTTTTCCATTTACAGCTATGTACTATACAAGTGAGAATATTTTCTCTGTGTGTCTTGACTTGAAAAAGGCTGGGAAGCCTGTACCATACACTTCTTAAGGGTAGGGGTTGTGTTTGGGTTGTTCATGCCTATATTCTGAATATAAACTAGTGTCAGGCACATAGAATGTGCCAGAAGTATTTCTTGAAAAATGAAAGGTTTTATGGTGGTGAAGAAAATGGTGGGTTTGATAAGGGTGATGGTGATGATCAAGAAGAGAATGGTGCTGGTGATGGTGGTGGTGGAGATGATGGTGGTGATAATGGTGGTGATGATGATGGGGGTAGTGCTGGAGCTGCTGGTGGTGCTGATGGTTATGGTGGTGGTGGTGAAGGTGGTGTTGATAATAACGATGGTGGTGATGATGGTAATGGTGGTGCTAGTGGTGATGATGGTGATGGTGGTGATGGTGGTGATGATGGCAGTGGTGGTGGTGGTGGCGGTGGCGGTGGCGGCGGCGATGGTGGTGGTGGTGGTGATGGTGGTGGTGGTTGTGGCAGTGCTGGTGGCGACTATGATGATGATGAAAACTTTGGTGGTGGAGACGATAGACTCAGAGAACCTGGCCTATCCCAGGTTTATGAAAAAACTTTAAAGAACTTTTATGAAAAACGGGTTTGCCTTTTCCCTTTGTGGAGAGCCTAGAAAAACCACTTGAAGGTGGATTTTGGAGGCAAGGTAATCGGAGGCAAGGTAATCGGAGCTGGAGGGAGAGGGGCTATTGCAGATCGCAAACTCTGATGGCACTGCAGGGCCCGCCGCACCCCTCCGCACTCCCCCAGGCTATGGGAAGGCCGCCCTCCACACCGCACACTCTCTAGCCTCCTGCGCGGACTGGGCGCCGCCCCGGGTCCGCGCTGCGTGCGCGCTGGGAGCTCGGTCCTCTGGTCCTCTGCGCGCAGCAGGGCGCCAGGCCGTCGGCTGCCCCGGCCCCGCAGCCGGAGCTGCGGGAGGGCGGAGGAGGGAGATTCCGGAGTACGGGGCTGCGGCAGGAGGCGGGTTAATGTGCAGCAGGGGAGGGACAGGGACTCACTCCAAGGACGGCCTAGGTGAGGGGTTCTGCAGGTAGAGGCGGAGGCTGGGGTCTGAGGGAGGAGCACGTGTAGGTCCGAGGGCGCGGGTGAGGGTCAGGGGGTAGAGC